ACTGCATTAAACAGAGCCTGACTAACTTTCAACACTTGCTAACCATGCCTACATCAGGCCTTTCAGGTTTGTTCTAATCAGCAGGTCTCTCTCTACACAAGCAGCAGCGGTGACAACATTCAGTCTTTCATTATGAGTCATGCTGATTATGATCTTACTTCTCATTCTAACCTATGCCATTTGACGTAAAATCTACCTGCTAATTACTAAACCTCTAGACTGACCAAGTATGTGACATAATGAGACATTAAAAAAAAATCAGCATAAAGCTAACTGTTAATAAACATAAATGTCACTTCTTTCAAATATGTCCAATAAGTGTAAAATATTTAATGCTACATGATCAATTGCTTAAAGTTTATTTTATTTTCAAACTTATTAATAATTATGTTAATTCATGTTTAGTAATAATGCACACTACTTAGGAATCTATTTTATTTTTAGGATGGTATTACAAATGAGAAATTCAGGCATCAATAATATTTTTAATTGAATTTATTCAGTTTGCATTTGCTCATGGGTCCTTAATTTTTTTCATTAATGGTCTTTAAAAGTACTTAATTTCCATGTGCAGAAATGTGTACGAACTCTGGTATATGTTTCAAGCCAAAACCTACATGGAAGTATCGTTGATTTTACACCTACTGAATAATTTATATCACTAACTGGCCATTATTATTTGCTTTTACCACTGTATGATTGTCAACACTGTACAACTTGAGAAATGACTTGTACAGCAGTGTCAAAAGAATTTTTTTAATAAATATTAGTAACTAAATATAAAAGAGCATAGTAACCTTTTATTCTGACATTACGCTGACCGAGTCAGCCAACTGCTTTGCAGAGTGTAAGTTGTTTGTGAGGAGAAATTTAACAGAACTTTCCACATTAAAAAAAAAAAGATTTTGTGAATGATACTCGTAGGCTAATAGATTGCATTTAGTGCTGTTTGAATATAGAATAACTGATTTGTTATTCACATAACCCCTGGGCTGGCCCCAGAGTTGGTGCAGCCATATCGGGTGGCACCATTTAGAGAAGAACAGAGTAACAAAATCTTTTGAATTTAGAAAGGTGCTTGATAGCACAGACTGCATCGAGTTGTAAAATGTCCAGCGCTAGCCCTAATTGTATGTGGGAATTTGTTTATTCTCTACTCAAATAAATCTTGATCATGCACAGAAACTAGCCATAAATATAATAAATAACTAAGCTAATATAATTTGGGTTTAACTTCATCAGCGTGCAATAGATTACAAAATTTAGTAGAAAATCATGTCTTTTGCCGCCAGTTTCAGTATACATCCTCAGTAGTGTATAGTAGATGCTAGCCAAACTTTATACAATGACCGCTTTTTTCAGATATCGCAAATAAAAAGCAAAATTTTCAGGTTAATGGAATTTGTGGCGAAGTAATAAATGATGAATATAATTGAAGGTTTTATTATGATGCCAGTGTCCCAATCATGAATCATGAATTAATGGATGGTGAAATCAGTATTCGTTTATAAGTCGAGAAAATATTGCTTGAAAGTTAGTGGAAATTCTTGATATAGCGATTGCAGGACTTTGTAACTAAATGAGAAATTATGTATATCTATAAAATTAAAGTAGTTGCAACAAAAAAAAAGCTACTTACATTGAATGAAATGTTTCATGAAGCAAAATAAATATTGAGTTTGAGCTTTTTTTTTTATACATTTTTTATTCCCGTTAGGTCATAAATGCCTCATTATTTCATAAACCACTATTTCATAGTGTTACAAAATGTCAAGGCGCAGTGAGATTGCTTCCCCGCGAAGCAGTTTTAGGGATGCCATAAAATGGCAGGTAAAGGCAGGGTTGCCACATTTGGCAAGAAATCGCCCATTTGGCGACAAAATTGGGCAAAATATACCATGGATGGTGTGAGAACCTTCTGGAACGAATACTTACCGGTTTAGCCCAGAATGTTCTCGAACACAAACCGATTAGTGTGTGTGCCTCGTCTAGAGTGCGAGTTAGATAATATCGAGTTGGTGTCTTGTCTAACGAGTCAATCCCTGCAAAGTCGATCGAGTTGACAGCGGGGCAGTGAGTGCCGAGTGGGTCGTCGAGTTCACCGAAGGAGTCTCTTAGTGCATCGTCGAGAGAGCGTATTGAGCTCCATGGAACAACTGAACTGAAGAATCGGGAGCCGTGCTCTGTGTGTCATCGAGTGCATTGCGAGTTGTAGCGTAGAGAGTCTAGAGGGTATGTGGAGTTCCGAAAATGACCAAGCAGAGTTGGGAGCCGTACTCTGGTGCTTTGCAGTGAAGTTGTCTCCACCGTGATAGCCTGATAACCTGGAGGCTGTGTCGCTGATCGCGTCAGCGTGTTTATAGTAGATCTTCGACAACTGTAAAACGTGACTTTGGAGCTGTCCTGATCAGTATTGGCTAAATAAAGTGTGTTTCGATACTTCATCAAGTGTCGTCGTTATTCACTCCAAATCTATGAACCCCGTTCGAACGTGAAGGAAGAAAATAACGTAACAACTGGTGTCAGAAAAGAAAAACGCAACAATATTTTTAATTTTATAATTGCTACATGTTATCCTGCTAGATTTAAACTGTGTGTTTTTCATTTTCTTAATATATGTGGACTTTTGCATTATTATCTAAATATACTAACATTTAAGAACAGAGATTCATTTTTTATTTCTTTCCTCCGTTTTTAATGAGCATAACTCTTTTCTATTTTTCACTTTGCTTCTTGTGAGAGAGTCTTCTCAGTTGCTCAGTTTTGTTATTTTTGCATTTTTGTGATGAATATTAAAACTGAGTTTCTGTAAAGTTCCCTTTCCCTGGAAAAATCCTAAAAAGTCAGCAAAAGGAAAAATGGCAAGGAAAAATATAAACTTTTCCCCAGAAGTCAAAATGCAGAAATAATTAGAAGTTCATATTCTAAATATTGGGTTTAAACATAAGTAATGCTTGTATTTTTTATTTTAACAAAACAAAAAACAATAAATTAGTCAATAATATCAGAGTTTTTGAACTTTCCCCATAGACCCAAGATATCGAACTATAGTCATTTGGCTACAACCCATTCGTTTGACTAATTCTAGAGTGGTGTGACGTGTGTTTTCTTGCAGAAGTTGATTGAAATGCTCTTCATCGAACTCATTTGGTTGTCCAGAACAAGCAGCGTCTTCAAGGTTGAAATTTCCATTTTTGAATTTGACAAACGAATTTCTTGCAGTTCATTCAGGCATTGCACCTTCTCCATACACTTCACAAATCTCTCGGGCAGCTTCTGCAACATTGGCGCCTCGATTAAACGCGAAAAGAAGCTGGGTGCCGAAAATGCTTATTTTTGTCAACTTGACACTCCATTTTAATTGTCTGAAAAACATCAAAAATTAGACAAAAAAAAAAACCAAATACGCTATCTTGTAGAGGGAAAGATTCTCTTTCGAATAACACAAAACATCATGCCACTACATTTTATTCTTACCTCGTAATTTTAAAAACAACATAAACAGCCATTACTTATGTTTCAACCCAATAGTAACCAATAAGCAAAAATCGTTCCTGTTTAAAAAAATAAATGAAAGGAGAGTTACTGTTAGTTGTATTTTTCTGTCTCATATTTGATGCAATTTTATCAGTCTATCTTGGCCATCTATTCACCCTTTATTTTGAGTGTTCTAAATGCATATAATGTGTGTTTTTTCATTTCCTTCATAATAATTAGCAAGATAAAATAGATTTTTATAATATCTTTATTTCATTATATTTTATACTAATTGCATAACATTTTTCTGTTATTTATACTTAATACAGTCAAAAGTCTTTAATCCGGACTCGTCGGGACTTCGGCGATTCCGGATTATCGATTTTTCCAGATTATAGATCATCAGTTTAAATCTGGTAAGATGGCATGCAGAAATTATAAAATTAAAAATATGAAACCGTAATTTATAAAATGATGAGCAATTATGATCTAAAGGGTATCAAAATTTACAAAAAAAGAAGCTTAATATTTATTTGTTTACTTTATTAAACATTTCTTTCAACGCACACATGCGTAAAGCATACCTTACGCATAGCCGAAATTAGAAAATTGCAACCAGAAAACTATTTGATTTATATTCATGATATTTATAATGACGAGGAATTCCTGGTTCATCGAGATTAAATACTACATTTAATAAGGAATTATAAGCCGAATAAAATAAAAACATCTGCCCTGAAGATAACTATAGTGCTGACAGATCAACTTCCAGTTCATTGCGCGCCGCGATGTCCCCCCCCCCCACGCAGAGCAGCGTGAAACTGATAAACAGATTTCCGAACGGTTAGATAAACAAAGGATATGGCTTTATCCATTTTTTGTAGCAATTCGTTTTTTGTTTGATGAACATCGAAACATACTTTCGTTTTCTAGATCCTTTGGGAGCTCCAGCATCGGAAGTTCTATTTGACATAATCGAAAGTTCAAGGTTACTTTTATAAAATTGCTCTTACTGTCTGCAAAAAATAATAAGCCGGATCCAATTCGAAGATTAAGAAACAACGCAATCATCAACATTAACTGAAATAGTTAATTAGAGCTTATACCGTCCGGTATACATTAAACGCGCACGCGAAAACCTATTCTGCGTTTGCGCAAACGCATATGCACAGTCATAAATGTCTTGCGCGCACACGTAAAATGCCTATGCGCATGCGTCAACGCGGCGCATGCGCAGAAAGATTTTAGCTTTGAGGTCCTGATTATGGGTGTCCCAATTAACGTCTTTTGACTGTATACGAATTATGGTCAGGAACTTGTTCAGTTTGATCTTGAAAAAATCAAAGAAATTAAAAGTTGAATTTCAGTGAGAATGTTGCTTTGAAATATTTATAATTTTATTATAAAATCGTATGCTTTTGCCTGAGTTCAAATGTAGTAACTGTTGATACTAAATATAGTAACATGTTAAATTTCCTGTTTGATTATCCGAGTTTAATTTTTTTTTTTATTTGGCCTTACAGGTAAATCATCTATGAAAAGTAAGAAATATGCAAATGAAAAACATCACAAAAAGCCTGAAAAAATTAGAGATAACTCTTCAGTGCATCATACTAAAAAGAAAAAGCATAAGGAGAAAGATAAACATGATTACCATTCCCTACATAAAGATAAGCATCAATCAAAGCACCGAAATCATCCAAAAGAAAAAAATACCATAGAAAAACCATTTCATAAGCATAAAGAGCACAGTTCATTTTCAAATAAACTTTCATCTCTTTCAAATGCTTCTGTTGATAGATCAACAGATTCGGTGTTGAAGCCCACCAAAAATAAATCATTGTTGAGCAAAAGTGCCTCCAGTGAGAACAGTACACCTGTCTTATCACATCATACTGTACCTGTGCAAAATGTAAAATTTAATGATAAGGATGAAAAACTGCATCAGTCATGCAATATTAATTGTTCACAAAATGGCAGCATTTCTTTCCAAGAAGTATGTTTCTCCAGTACTTTTACTGGAGATGCAGGTTCAGAGAATGATGTTTCAGAAGATCATTGCGAGTCAGATAGTGCAAAAATTGATGAACACCCACATAATAGTTCTGTGCATATATCAACATCCAGTGTAACAGACGCTGTAAAAAGAAAAAGAGATGATTTATCTTGTGATCAAGCTGATTCTATAAGCATTGAAGATTATCCGAAGTCTAAAAGGAACAGAATTGACTCTTTGGATGATAACTGTATCCCTCATATCAAAGATATAGATACATCATTGAATATTTCTGCAAATTTGTTAGCTTCAGACCCTGATGCACAAACAGTATCTCTTACCACAGAGAATTCAAATATATTAAATACAAAACATATGGTATCAGAGAGGACATCTCCCATAATGTCTCCAAGAGAAAATTCATCTAATCATAATGGTCACATCTCTACATCTGTGTGTACGAAACTTTCTGGTGGAATATGTAATGGAGAACAGTTAACTTCTGTTAATATGTTAGTGCCTGAAATTCATAATGATTGTATAACTGCAGATACGAATTGTGATACATCTAGGACCACAGATATGAAATCAGTTGATTGTGATCTCCTTTGTCCAAAACAAGATAGTGTAGTTGATGGTTATTCCAATATAAATCCGGAAAAGAGTGAAAAGGAATCAAGTTATTCCTTTTCTTCTAATGAGTCACCATACTCAGTTTCTAATTCTTGTTGTTCTTCTCAGATCTCAAGTTCATATACCTCACAGAATAGTTGTAGTACTTCTGTTGTAATAACTAAATCAAATGAAAGGACAGATAAATCTGAAAGCTCTGAACTACAGTCTGGAATAAAAAAAGGTAATGAAAAGCTAAATTCATCAAATAACTGTTTCCAAAATAACAAAAAGAAAGAATCGGAAAGTTCTAAGCATTCAGCAAAAAACTCTAAGAGCTTGTCTCATGTATTTAATTCTAAAGAATTAAGTGCCCATGGTACCAATAAACATGTATCGTTATCAGTTTCATGCAAAACAAAATCATCTTCAGATAAACATAAATTAACTAAATCAAAGCATGATGGTAATTCAAAAGATAAGATTAAGAAAAAACAGAAAACTCCAAGTGTATGTGATAAAAATTTAGGCGAGGAGAAAAAACATGATAACTCTCATGTTGAAAAAAAAGCAAAATCAGCTAAAGATCTTAAGCATTGTTCAAAAAGTACACATTTGTCAAATTCTGATGTAAAGAAAGATTCTCATAAGGTAAAAATTGAGAAGGATGGTAATGAAGTAAAAACAAAACACAAATCAAACTCCATTTCATCATCATCGTCGTCATCATCATCATCATCAAAATCAGATCTTTGTTTGCGTTGCCGTCAGAAATTGACCAGTCATAGAAATGTGAGTATTCAGTGTAAAAGGGATAGGCATGATAAAATAACTGAAAAATTAGGTGTATCCCAGAGAATTCCACGGTTGCCTCAAGGTCTAGATTTGAAACATTTGAAATATGGAAAATACATAAGGCTTGAAGTTTATCCTAATGGGGGTGCTGCTCTGCTTCACTTATACTGGGATGAAATTTGTCATTTGCATCGTAAAGAATTAAGGGCTTTAGCAGAAGAATTCTTAAAGGTAAATTATTATTTTTATTTGTTTATCATAGGCATACATTGTTTTATATCCACTTATTCTGAATTATCTATGCTAATTAATACAAGGGTACATCCAAACAGAGCCTGGACAAGGGCGAGGTGATCCACTTGCCTCAGATGAATAACTAGATGGGACACCAAATTAGTGATGAAAATTTAGAAATTCAATTTAAAGGAAGGAATTATAGTTATTAATTTTCAGTTTTGGAATGTATAAAGAAGTATCAAAAGAATTTTTTGTGATAAAGGAATATATTAACGTTAATTTCTTCTGAGAACTGCTGATGTCTTATAGCATTATATTATTTTTTAACATTAAAATTTACTTGTTGGAATTAATGCATTGAAGCATTTTTGTTCTTGGTTACTTGGCTCTTGGTTAAAAGCATCATGCTGCTGACATCAATAATTCTGTACTATCTCCCTTTTAATTTGATATATACGTCTTATTGCTCTTACATACAATATTCTTAAACATCCACTAGTTGAATATGAATTGCGGCGTAACTGCCTACAGTTTTTGCAACAGATTTATCACATAAAAGCCTATTAGAATAGCATTGGGAAATTAAATAAGAATGTTTAAAAATTAAATTTGTCATACTTTCAGTATTTTGCTTCTTTCTTTTGTGTAAAATGTACCATTGAACAAAATGCGTAGTTTGAGGTTTTGTCTTGTATCCACATTTAATTTGCTCGGAAATGTATAGTTGGTTTTATTTGCAGTTATTTTGGGAGGCGTTCCACATATTGCTGAACAGATTTAATTGAATAGGCATGTTAGTAAGTCTCATTCTTTTAAAAAGACTGGAATGTAAACATATAAGGAAAGACATGATTTCTCTCTCTGTCTTTTTTCTTTTGTTTACAATAGAATAATAAAATGAGTTGTTTCATAAGAGTACCAAAAAATATTTATAATTTTACATTTTTTATCGGAGATTTAAGATAGTATAAAACAGATGAGATTTAAGACAGACTACTTCTAATATAATTGATATTGATATAAAAGAACGTGTTTTAAAAAGTTTAGTGTCATTTTTCTTGATTCTGAAGTAATCAATAGAAACATATTTAAAAACTGCATGTTTTGCTAAAGAAATTTAAAAAAAAAAAAAAATTGAAACCTGAAGAAAGAAAAATTTTAAACGCTATAAAGCAGCTGATTTAAAGATTAGGGAAAATATCAAAATAAATTAGACTATTAATTAGATTGCAAACTTTATTGGGAAAAGTAAAAATTAATAGAAGCACCTATAATATTTGTGAAAGTTAACATACTAAAGTCCACAGAAACTGGTGAAGCTACATAAACTAAAAGCATGAAGCATCATTAAATCTTAATAACTTTAAAATAGTGCTTATATTGTAGGAATAAGATGAGAACATTAAGTTAAACAGCAACTGTGTGGGTCATCTTATACTATTAAAATAAATGCACATCTGTCGGTTTGTTTGTAACATCTCCTCCCGATTGGCGGGAAGTTGAGTTTCGAGAGAGGTATCCCCAGATTCCAAAAATTCCTTGGAAGCTAATTCGATCATTCTTATCTTTGTATCACTTAAATCAGCCAAGATATTAATTTAAAACTTTGAAACCGCTAATTTTCGCACTAATTTTTTCTTGTGGCAACAACCGCACACATTTAGATAGAAATGCTTTATTTTGAAAAGTAAGTTTCACAAAATATGAAATAAAATTAGCATTGCCAGTTACTAAACATATTATATACGGTCATATTCTGACTTTAAAGAAATCATGCTATTACATGTGATGTCATTGTACCTCGAAAATTTTTCATTAATGTCAGTATTTTAAAGAAATGGTTGGTGTTGACAACCTTTTTTGTTTCAGGTTAGAATAATTGACACAATATGTTAGTGCCACATTCATTCTTTTATTGATATTGAAAAGTTGTTATATTTCATTAAATTTAAATCATGATGTGATACATATTAACCTGAAGTGTCAAAAGTTTTTGTTACATGGCTTGCCAATAAAAAATTATTTAGAAATTGGTTGTTGCTTGGAAAGAGTGAATTGATTTCATTCATATTGAAATGCTTTTCCCCCCAGGAGTACAAAGAAATTATAAATTTTGTTTTGGCCGCAACTTGCTCATCTGTTGAGCTTGCGCACTAATATTTAAAATAAAATTATGTGGGAGGTACTTAATGTATTATCACAACCACCTTAGCAGAAATTACCATCATTTCAGAATACACCAAACTGTGATAAGCACACTCATACTAATTATTCAGGTAACCATGCTCATGACAAATATTCAGTTTCCAACATTGCCATTTTCGTATGTGTTCTTTTTGTTGTATTACAAGTTCCAACAGCTTTTATAGAAAAATTATGATTATATTTTGTTTTAAACATGATTTTTAAATTCTTGCTTGTAAAGTTTCTGCAGAAATGTAATATTTTGCCACAAAATCGCTATAGGAATGATGGTTTGAATCATTTCTAAAAGCGATCGCTAAAAAACCTGTTTGTAACTAGTTTTACTGTCTTTTTTTAATAAATATATAATTTGAATGGAAAATATGTTTGTAAGTAATATATAATTTTTATTACAATTAAAGTAAATGTTGTTTTTCTTCCATAAAATTCACCAGATTGCACCAAGGTAGTTACAGTAATACACAAGTACCAGCTGAGATGTAATATTCTGCTCAAATTCAAATAAATCTTATAATCAAAATTCATTTAAATTATAAAAGATATGCAAGTTTCTTGTGAGTACAAATTTTAGTGTAAAAATTACAAGCAATTTCAGAACTAGATGAGGATTCCAAAGATTACACCCTAAAACATGACGGATCACTTTCTTGCAATATAAATATTTGTAAATTTGGAGAATGAGAAGTCTCCATTAGAACAGAATTTTCTTCAAACAACACTCATTTTCCAATCGTGCCTGTGTTTGTGAAAGCAGTTTCCAGAGAACACAATAAATATATGCAGATAGATCAAAGGTTTACAGCCTGATATACTATTAAAAGAAATAGAAATATTTTTGCAGTATTATTTTTCAATATGATCTCCCTGTACCTTGATACAGTTTTCATGTTGTTAAGTGAGCAAGTCTTTGCCCCCTGAAAAAGTAATATTATAAGGTATTTCTCCTTCTTTCCTAGCGTGCCTTCATGGTGTAGTGGTTCTCCACGCTGGGCCGGTATTCCAGAGGTCCGTGGTTCGATTCCTGGTGAAGGCATTGCTAATTTTTCATCTCTTCTGCTTCCAAAAAAAAAAAAAAAAAAAAAAAAAAACCTAATGTCTCTACAATGGCGCCCGAACTATAAAGGTTGTGGATGATGATTCTCCGCACCAAAGATTTGGCGACTAGATCCCCTAAAAACCCTAGTCACCCTTTAAAAGGGGGAATATATAAGGTATTTCTCCCTCTTTCCTAGCATGCCTTCATGGTGTAGTGGTTCTGCACACTGGGCCGGTATTCCAGAGGTCTGTGGTTTGATTTCTGGCAAAGGCATTGCTAATTTTTCATCTATTCTGCTTCAAAAAAAAAAAAAAAATCCTAATGTCTCTACAATATGGATGTTGTCTTCAAAACATTTCATAACTTTTCTTTTCATGCCATCATCAGTATTAAATTTCTTTCCACAGAGGTCAGATTTTATTTTAGAAAACTGTTAATAATAACTTATTGCAGATGTGAAGTATTCATGCAGAATGCGGGAAAGAATTGTTTTAGAAAGATTTAATCTTGCTGCTGTCTCCTTGACATTTAATAACCTGTCACTTAGTATTTCTTTCTAAGCACATGTAATATTTTCTGATGTGAATGATGTGTGTTTAGTGATGGTTGACCATCACAGAACTTGTCATCTATTAATTCTCAACCCATGTGAAATTTTTTTACTCATTCCTATCAGTGTAAGCAGTATAGGATAAGAAGGAAACGAATTGCTATACACATTATTAATCAGAAATTGCATTGTAGGACAGTATGCAGTTTTAAATATTTGGAACAAGTCATTAAATGTTTTCCCCATAATTGGGCAAATGTATATAGAGGTGCACAATTATCTCTTTTCCTCATGTGAAAAAATATGTAGATACATCCCTGCATAGAAATAAACTGAAAATGATCTTGTAAAATTCTTCTGGGTATCTAAGTATCATTGGTACTTTTCCGTTATGCCGGCGCAAGCGATAAAGTCGCCAATAATGGTCCAACCGATGCCAAACGGAATATTCTCGCTGGTAACCTTTTACGCCTCATTTTCGAAACAAGTCGCCGCTTTTCTTATCAGATTGATTGTTTCTTTCAATACTGGCATATAATTACATAGGATTTTTATCAGATAGTACAGTTTTATGTCTAAGGCTATTTTCAATAATTAAGTCAATTAGGATGCAATCACAGCGCTTACCCGAAGCCGAAAATGTAGGAAAGGTAAAGTCAAGGGTTAAATTCATCAATTCTGATGAGAATGCATTAGCGAAGTAAAGCACTGCAGTTTTACATAATTTCTGAGTAAGCTATTCGTACGAATTGAAATATTTCTTGCATATAAACTTGTGTTCCAAATTAAGATTTAACTTGAAATTAATGTAGATAATTACTGAGAGCATTAGATTACTGTAGAGAAGTTTACATGAGATGAGATCGCTTGGGTCATGTGATATGAACCGGCGAATCAAGATGTTGAACCATGAAAGCATAGTAAATTCTTAAATTAATGTCTTTTTACAAATTTATTGTCTTCATTTATTGGCTTTTTATAAAATTTTAAGCGATATTAAAATGTTTATGTCTTCAAAATAAAAAATTCTTAGAACTAACATTTTTTAAATATTTTTTATGTGTATACTGTATGTTGTCACCAATAAAGTCTGCTTGGCAAGATTTGCGCCGGCGAAACGGAAAAGTACCGTATCATTAAATTATATATATACAGTACAAAGTCCGTAATTCGGACTCGTCGGGACTTTGGCAATTCCAGATT